CTATAGCTATGATACTATAGCTATGTACTATAGCTATGTACTATAGCTATGATACTGCAGCTATGGATGGACCCTGGAAACACAAGCAACAGTACTATACAGCACCCTTTAAGCGGTGTTAGTGCTGTCGTCACCACGTGGTGACTACTAACATTCCCAAAAGTGCTCCGTCCCAAGGAAAACGTGACCTCTGACTGAGGCCTCGATTCTTGTACTTGTGAGGTCAACAGTGAGGTCATAAGTTCCAGAATCGTGACCTCGTAAGTCGTAAAGAGGTCACGTCACAATGAGGTCTTCGTAGGAACCACGTTTTCCTTGGGGTTTTCACACCTATCGTGCCTTTCCAAAGGCACTTAGCAGAGCACTAGCATCCCCGAAGGTTGTTACATCACTATTTTCTCCGGTGTAGTGATGGGATTGTAAATTTGTTCGGTAAACTCTAAATTTGGATGGAGTATATTCTCATAGAAAGCTGCGTTTTTGTGTCAATCTCAACGACGTGAAAATTTCAATCTGGGGTCCGTTTGTCGATCCTTCGTCACCAATAATGCACTCATCGGTTCACGGAATTCAGGAAGTAACGCGCACAACGGAGAAGAGACTCAGGAAAATGCTGATGAATTACTTACCCATTATGTGCAATAGGGAGGGCAAGTCCTACTAAACAAGCAACAGCACTATAGTAGAGAACACGACACAGAAGTGCGCTGCAGAGAGCTGCCGGAAAACGTTCTCTCCCCCTCCACCCTGTTTTACCTGATTTAGAAGGAAAGGCACTTCCGGTGAGCTCCCTGATCGATTCTGCCGCTAGGGGCGCTAGTGACATGTGTCGCCGTGAGAAGTAAACCGCAACGTTAGCGTCAAATATTCGATACGGTTGCGAACCTTCTAAGAACTTCTTAAGTTTGTAGACACCTACACGCCAACATTGGCGCTGGTATTACTGTTACTGTTGCATTCATGTGGAATAGAACGCAAGTGGCAGGCTCTAAATCAACCAAAGTCACCTGCAATATACTCTAACGTCTTCAAAGAAGAGAACGTACCCAAGCGGTCACTCAGTAGCGAACCTGCCTCTAGTGATCGAGTGTATGGAGTTTGAGTAATAAAGTGTCCAAGACCAGAGATCGGCCACGCGAGGCCGAGGCAACTCTTGGCAACCCTGCAACCTGAAACCTACTGAGTCCGCTTCCTCGGCGTTGAACCCAACGAGTACCGAGTACCCAGCGTTCGGTCTTCCCTCCTGGCCTCCGGTCCCGGGCGAGCAGCACCAAACAAGCCGCAACCACTACAGCCCCCTCCGCCCCCTCATCTGCGTCGGAGGAAGAAGGCTGAGTTTTTTAAATGTTTTATTTTTCTACGTATGCATGGCACACGTGTATCGCTATCTTTACAGACCTCCGCCCCCATGCGGTCGCCGCGGAGCGGGGCAGGGGAAAGGCCCAGCGGGATCTACAGAGAGAGATGGGGCCTCGGAAAAATCGTCATTTTTGCTGTTTTCTGTACTTTATACGAGCGCGTTGCGGGGTATGGATCACCTTCTTAGGGACAACACGGAACACGGGGGGGGGGGATTTCCGGAACGTTTTTTCATGCTCTTTCGATTGCAATTATTACCATTTTCGGCTATTTACCTCCTCCTATGCGTATGAGTGCAATTGGGTGACTGCGAAAACCCAGAAGTGTAAAAATGCACAAAGCACCCCGCCTTTCTTCTTTCCATGACGCCATTCAGCCCAAATGATAGGCAATCGCCCGATGCCGTCCCGTCCACCTGGCGCATTGTGCGGGTGGCCTACCTGGTGGCTTTGCAGGCACTACAGCGAACCACCCCGCCCCACTCTCTCTACACTCTCCCTTACGCCATCCGCCTGTAGTCTCCGACGCCGAAGGCGGGCTGGCGACAGCGG